ACCACAATTACAGTGTTATAACATTCTGTGTCTTTTGTGTAGTGACTGCTAACAGTGAGTTTTGTACATCCTAGTGATTTCTTCCTGCTCATTCATGTCCTTTTCTTTTAGATTGAAGAACTCCCTTTGGCATTTTTTTGTCAGACAAGTCTAATGATGATGAAATCCCTCAGCTTTTGTTTGTCTGGGAAAGTCTTTATTTTTCCTTCATGTTTTAAGGATATTTTAGCCAGATACACTATTCTAGGGCAAAAGTTTTTTTTCATCCTATACTTTAAATATGTCATGATTGTTTCTCCTGGCTTGTAAGGTTTCCATTGAAAAGTCTGCTGCCCAACGTTTACAATAGCAAAGACCTGGAACCAACCCAAATGCCCATTGATGATAGACTGGACAGGGAAAACGTGGTACATATACACCATGGAATATTATGCAGCCATCAAAAATGATGAGTTCGTGTCCTTTGTAGGGACATGGATGAACCTGGAAACCATCATTCTCAGCAAACTGACACAAGAGCAGAAAATCAAACACTGCATGTTCTCACTCATAGGCGGGTGTTGACCAATGAGAACACATGGACACAGGGTGGGGAACACTACACACTGGGGTCTGTTGGGGGAAAATAGGGGAGGGACGGCGGGGTGGGGAGTTGGGAAGAGATAGCATGGGGAGAAATGCCAGATATAGGTGAAGGGGAGGAAGGCAGCAAATCACACTGCCATGTGTGTACCTATGCAACAATCTTGCATGTTCTTCACTTGTACCCCAAAACCTAAAATGCAATTAAAAAAAAAACCAGACATAACAAAGATGACATAAAAAACAAAAAAAAGTCTGCTGCCAGATGTATTGGAGCTCCATTGTCCATTATTTGTTTCTTTTCTCTTGCTGCTTTTAGGATCCTTTATCTTTGACCTTTGGGAGTTTGATTATTAAATGCTTTTAGATAACCTTTGTGTTAAATCTGCTTGGTTTTCTATAAGCTTCTTGTACTTGAATATTAATATCTTTCTATAGCTTTGGGAAATTCTCTTTTATTATCCTTTGATAAACTGTCTACTCCTCTCTCTCTCTCTCTCTCTGTCTGTCTGTCTCTCTCTCTCCCTCCTTTCTAAGGCTAATAACTCTTAGATGTGCCCTTTGAGGCTATATTCTAGATCTTGTAGGCATGTTTAATTCTTTTTAAGTCTTTTTTGTTTTTTCTCCTCTGATTCTGTGTTTTCAAATAGCCTGCCTTCAAGCTCACTAATTCTTTTCTTCTGTGTGATCGATTCTGCTATTAAGAGACTCTGATATATTCTTCAGTATATCAATTTCAGTTTTCAACTCCAGAATTTCTGCTTGATACTTTTTATTTGTTTTAATTTGTTTAATTTATCTGATAGCATTCTGAATTCCTTCTCTGTGTTATATTGAATTTTGCTGACTTTCCTCAAAACAGCTATTTTGAATTCTCTGTCTGAAAGATCACATACCTCTGTGACTCCATGATTGGTCACTGCTGACTTATTTAGTTCATTGTGTAAGATCATGTCTTCCTGAATGGTCTGGATGCTTGTAGATTTTCGTTGGTGTATGGGCATTGAAGAGTTAGGTGTTTATTATAGTCTTTGCAGTCTGAGCTTGTTTTTTCTTGTCCTTTTTTGGAAGGTTTTCCAAGTATTGAAGGGACTTAGGTATTGTGGTCTAAGATTTTGGCTACTGCAATTGTATGTGCATTTGGGGGCACATGAAACCCATTAATGCTGTGGCTCTTCCAGACTCCAATAGGTACCATCTTGGTTGTTTTGGATAAAATCTGGAGTAATTTTCTGGATTACCAGGCAGAACTCTTACTCTCTTCCCTGATTTTGTTACAAACAAAGTCTCTCTATCTGTACTGAGCTACCCTGAGCTGAGGGAGGGGTGGCCTAAGAACTCATGTGGCCACCACCACTGGGACTGTGCTGGATCAGACCTGAAGCCAGCATATCCTTGGATCTCACCAAAGGCCTAAAATAACCACTACATGGCTACTGCCTATGTTTGTCAGCAGGTGGCTAAGTCAGTAAGGCTTGTGTTCTTCCCTTCAGGGCAGTCAGTTCACCCCATTCCTGGGCAAGTCTGGAGATGCTACCTGGGAGCTAGGGCCTGGAAACCTTAGGAATCTCCCTGATGCTCTATACGCCTGGAATAGCTTATTCCAAGAGTCCATGTGGTACTGTGTCCCTCTGTGGCCGAGTTGGTACTTGAGTGAAAGACAAGTCACCATTATTCTTCCCTCTCCTTTTCTCAAGTAGAAGGCGTTCCTCCCCATAGCCACCGCAGCTGAGAATGTGCTGGGTGACACCTGAAGCCAGCATGTTTTAATTCTCACCTAAGGCCCACTGCCTGGATATAGCTGCTGATTATTCAGGGCCCATGGGCTCATTACTCAGCAAATGATGCATCCTGCCCTTCCTTTCAAGGCCTCAGGTTCCCTTCTTGCCCAGGGTATGTCTAGAAACGTCATTTGGGAGCTAAGGCCTGAAATGAGGCCTCAGGACTCTGTCTGGTGCCCTATTCTACTGTGGCTGAGCTGGTATCCAATTGCAAGAGAAAGTCCTTCATCAGTCTTCCCTCTCCTCTCTGGAGGAAAGAAGGTGTCATTTTTGTTGCTGTAAGCTGCACTGCTTAGGGTTAGGGGAGGGATGCACAAGCATTCCCTTGGCTGCCCTGACTGGTTTCTCACACTGTCTGTGAGCCCAACATAGCACCAGGATTTTCCCAGGAATTACAGTTCTTGTAGCCTGGACTGTCTTTCAGGTTTATTTAGGACGCCAGAGCCCTTTTGTCCATGGTGGTCAGGCTTGCTGAAACCCAGGTTCTAACTACTGGGATGGGTAATTACCCTCTTTCTAGGACTTGTCTAAATGTTTCTTCTGGGGGTACTGGCTGATTTCTGCTAAATGTTGCTTTCTGCTTTGATAGGGCAGCACTGAGTTCCAATGCAAAGTCCAACAATCACTGCACTCTTTCTCTCCTCCAAGAGCAAAGATTTTTTTTCTGTGCCACACAGCTTCTGCCTGAGGATGGGGAAGCAGTGGCTTAGGCAATTTAAGACTGTTTTTCCTCCTCTCTTCAAGTGCCTCTTTCAGTAATAGGAAGTTAAAACCAGGTACAGTGATCACTCACCTGATTTTTGGTTCTTATTAAGGTGCTTTTTTGGTGTGTGTGGATAGTTGTTCATTTGATGTTCCTGTGGGGAGGATGATTGATGGAGGCTTCTATTTAGCTGTCTTGCTCCACCCGAGAACTTTCTTTTTCAAAGAATGTAGAAATTATGTAAAATCTTTAAACTTTTCAGCTGTAGTGTTCCTGAATTTTTCTGCTGTGTACTTTATCTACCCTTTCCTTGCTCCAGTTAAATAAAAGACACTGGCCTACTGAATATACTCTAGATCTTTGGTTCCCTTCTTCCTTCCTTTTAACCTTTATTGTTCTCTCTCTCTTTTCGTTACTTGACTATTGTCTCTCTGGCAGGCCAATAGAATTCTCTGGTCCTTAGGGATTTCAGTTGTAAAATTTGTATGCTGTTTATCATTGCCAGCTACCTTGAGTACTATGAATATTTAGTGCTAAGAATAATAGGCTAGGAAATATAATTTTAAAAATACTCATATATATGAAATTCCTAAAAATCAAGTTTGTCTTTTGAATATTGCAGTATTAAAAATAGTAAGTCAAGGCTTAAAATCCACTTTCTATTAATATTTGTTTTCTGAATCTAAGAAAACAGCTTCTGATGAGAATAGTAAAGCAATCTTTGAATGCACCAGGGAATAACCACATTTCTTAATTCTGAAACTATCTATCTCTTTGCCTTGCAAATTTTATTTATTCATTTTGGAAAAGCAAAAATTGTTATGAGGAATTTAAATAAAACATACTTATGTCAGCTTATTTAACTTTAATATAGATTTATTTGAAACATACTTATCACATTCTTACTTGTATTCCAGTTATTTTTGTATAGCTTTCTTAATTTTGTGTATTTTTCCTTACAAGGTTATAAGCAAATTTATATCAGACATGAGATAATATTGGGTGAGTGAATGTCTCATTGGACTTGGTGAGTAGAATCTCTCATTTTCCTTCACGTGAGCTTCCTTGAGCCTTGGACTTTACTTTTTTGTTGTTTTAACTTTGATTAACTTCTATTAACTTTTATTTTGTTAATTTACAGTTTGTTATTTTTACTTTGCTTTTTTGTTATGTTTGAATTATAATAAGATTTAAAAATTTAAATTTGGCATCCATACAGAAAGTAGAAACATAAGAAACTTGAGGCTCTTAGCATCCTGTAATGCATATGCTAGTAACCAAAAAGATAGTAGCATTACGATGAAAGGCCTCTGGTAGTCTTTTCTATGTCTTACATACAAGTCCTCCATGGTTAAATTCCTCTGTTGATGGTCTCTATGGCCATGTATAGGATAGATTTAAGGGCTCAAATAAATCTGAGTAAACCAGTACAATTTCCTGGCTAACATTGGGATATTGTATCTTTTCCCAAACTGGCTATATAAGTTAAAGGTAAAGTCAGTTACCGTTGATGTATTTGACTCACCAACTCAAACTGAAGCTTATGACAACTCTTTCAAATTAATTTATTAGAGCCTTGTTTAGTGGAGCCATGCCTTGGAATGAGAGAGAGAGAGTAATAAATGAACTGTCCACAAAAAACTTACTTTCAAGAATTTATTTACACAAAAAATACACTGAAGGTATCAGTGAATCCGGTGAAGTCTTTCTTTTTTCATCTCAGTGGCTGTTAACAAAATAAATTTTTGTCATCAGGAAAAAGCTAGAATACACCTCCTTTCATTTCCACCATGCCATGGTATATTAAGTTTCTCTTAGACCAGAGGTTGCAAACTGGCAGCACATAGAATGGATCAAGCTACAGATATATTTTGTTGGGATCATGAAGATAATAATTAATTAGATTAGATTGATTGTCAATTGTTTCAAAATAGTAAGATTTCACATAAAAATATGAATTTATGACTTGGGAAGATCCATGTGATTAGATAAAACTGGGCCTGTGTTGCTGCATATTCACTGTTGGCTAGAGCTGAGCAGCTGGTGCCACCTTTAGCAGAGGACAAAGACTGTTCAGTATGATAGTCCTCATCACTCTCTATTTTCTCCTTAATTTCTTATTTTTAGTCTGCTTCACTCATTTTGTTTTAACTGCATAGCTTCTAAAATTTGCAACTCCTGTTTTAGACCATCTCTGTGAATGTATACACATATATATGTACGCACACACACAGACACACACACAGGACACACACACACACACACACACAAATTGTTTTTTTCCTGGATAAGTTGAAAAAATTCACCAGAGATGTAAGGTAAGGTTGTGTTCTTTTTTCTCCCGCTTTCATAAAATCACTCTTCTACTATCAGGCTTTATCTCTTAATTAGGGTTTACTTAGTCTACTTACTCCTAAATATACCACATGTATTTGTGTTTTTTGTTATACATAAACTGTGTCTTTTAGAGAGATATATTGAAATATTCTCTCTCTATAAATATGTTACATTTAGTGTATGTGTGTGTGTGTATATATATATATATATATATGTATGTATGTATATATATATATGGTGATACCACCTACACAGACATATATTTAATCACATCATGTATATAAAATCATAACAAAAATTATTCCTTAATATCAAATATCCAGTTTTTAAATGTTTTTAATTTTTAAATTATTTCTTTTTATTTTGTTTAGTGGTGAACTCTGAGGCTTTGGTGCACCCATCATCCAACCAGTGTACATTGTACTCATTGTGTAGTCTTTTATCCTTGATCCCCCTTCCACCCTTTTCCCTGAGTCCCCAAAGTCCATTGTATTATTTTTATGCCTTTGCATGCTCATAGCTTAGTTCCCACTTATGACTGAGAACACATGATATTTGGTTTTCCATGCCTAAGTTACTTCACTTTTAATAATTGTCTCCAATTTCATCGAGGTTGCTGCAAATGCCATTATTTCATTCTTTTTTGTGGCTGAGTAGTATTCCATGGTATATATATACCACATTTTCTTTACGTACTCGACTGATGCACATTTGAGCTGGTTCCATATTTTAACAATTGTGAATTTTGTTGCTATAAACGTGCCTGTACGAGTATCTTTTTTTTGTATAATGATTTCTTTTCCTCTGGGTAGATACCCAGTAGTGGGATTGCTGGATCAAATGGTACTTTTAGTTCTTTAAGGACTCTCCACACTGTTTTCCATAGTGGTTGCACTAGTTTACATTCCCACCAGCAGTGTAAAGATGTTCCCTTTTTTACCACATCCACACCAATATCTTATTTTTTGATTTTTACATTATTGCCATTCTTGCAGGAGTAAGGTGGTATTACATTGTGGTTTTGATTTGCATTACCTTGCTCATTAGTGACATTGAACTTTTTTTATATGTTTATTGGTGATTTGTATATCTTCGTTTGAGAATTGTCTATTCATGTCTTTAGCCCACTTTTTGATGGGGTTGTTTGATTTCTTGTTGATATGTTTGAGTTCCTTGTAGATTCTAGATATTAGTCTTTTGTCAGATGTATATACTGCAAATGTTTTCTCTGCTCTGTGGGTTGTTTGTTTAGTGTGCTGATCATTTCTTTCTTTTTTTTTTTTTTTTTGAGATGGAGTTTCGCTCATGTTACCCAGGCTGGAGTGCAATGGCGCGATCTCGGCTCACCGCAACCTCCGCCTCCTGGGTTCAGGCAATTCTCCTGCCTCAGCCTCCTGACTAGCTGGGATTACAGGCACACGCCACCATGCCCAGCTAATTTTTTGTATTTTTAGTAGAGACGGGGTTTCACTGTGTTGACCAGGATGGTCTAGATCTCTTGACCTCGTGATCCACCCGCCTCGGCCTCCCAAAGTGCTGGGATTACAGGCGTGAGCCACCGCGCCCGGCTGATCATTTCTTTTGCTGGGCAGAAGCTTTGTAGTTTTATCAAGTCCTTCTATTTATCTTTATTTTTGTTGCATTTGCTTTTGGATTCTTGGTCATGAAGTCTTTGTCTAAACCAAGGTTTAGAAGGGTTTTTCCGATATTTTCTTCTAGAATTTTTGTGGTTTCAGGTCTTCGATTTAAGTATTTGATCCATCTTGAGTTGATTTTTGCATAGGGTGAGAGATGAGAATCCAGTTTCATTCTTCTACATGTGGCTTGCCACTTATCGCAACACTATTTGTTGAATAGGTGTCCTTTCCCTACTTCATGTTTTTGTTTGCTTTGTCAAAGATCAGTTGGCTGTAAGTATTTGGGTTTATTTCTGGGTTCTCTACTCTGTTCCATTGGTCTATGTACCTATTTTTATACCAGTACCATACTGTTTTGCCTTATGATATAGTTTGAAGTCAGGTAATATGATACTTACAGATTTCTTTTTTTTCGTGTGTGTGTGTGTGTGGTTGTTTAGGGTTTCTTTGGCTAGGTGGGCTCTTTTTTGGTTGCATATGAATTTTAGGATTGTTTTTTCTAGTTTTGTGAAGAATAATGATGGTATTTTGATGGAAATTGTGTTGAATTTGTAGATTGTTTTTGGCACTATGATCAGTTTTTCAATATTGATTCTATGCCTCCATGAGCATGGGATTTTCATTTGTTTGTGTTGTCTATGAAATCCTTAAGCAGTGTTTTGTAGTTTTCCTTGTAGAGATTTTTCACCTCCACCTCCTTTGTTAGGTATAATTCTGCATATCTAATATTTTTTGCAGTGATAATAAAAGGGATTGAATTCTTGATTGGATTTTCAGCTTCGTTGCAGTTGGTGTATAGCAGAGCTACTGTTTGTGTACATTAATTTTGTATACTGAAGCTTTCCTGAATTCATTTATCAGTTCTAGGAGCTTTTTGGATTAATCTGTAGGGCTTTCTGAGTATATGATCATATCATCAGCAAACAGCTACAGTTTGACTTCTTCTTTATTGACTTGGATGCCCTTTCTTTCTTTCTCTTGTCTAAATGGTCTGGCTAAGACTTCCAGTACTGTGTTGAATAGAAGCGGTGAAAGTGGGCATCTTTGTCTTGTTCCAGTTCTCAGGCAGAATGTTTTCAACTTTTTCCCATTCAGTATAATGTTGTCTGTGAGTTTGTTTATATGGCTGTTTTTTTTTTTTTTTTTACCTTAAGGGGTGTCCCTTCCTTCCATGCTGATTTTGCTGAGGGTTTTTTTTTTTTTTTTTTTTGAGACGGAGTTTCGCTCTTGTTACCCAGGCTGGAGTGCAATGGCACGATCTCGGCTCACCGCAACCTCCGCCTCCTGGGTTCAGGCAATTCTCCTGCCCCAGCCTCCTGAGTCACTGGGATTACAGGCACGCGCCACCATGCCCAGCTAATTTTTTTTTGTATTTTTAGTAGAGACGGGGTTTCACCATGTTGACCAGGATGGTCTAGATCTCTTGACCTCGTGATCCACCCGCCTCGGCCTCCCACAGTGCTGGGATTACAGGCTTGAGCCACCGCGCCCGGCCTTGCTGAGGGTTTTAAACATAAAGTGATGCTGGATTTTTTCAACTGCTTTTTCTGTATCTGTTGAGATAGTCATGTGATTTTTGTTTTTAATTCTGTTTATGTGGTGCTTTACATTTCTTGACTTGCATATGTTAAACCATCCCTGCTTTCCTGGTGTAAAACCCACTTGATCATGGTGGATTAACTATTTGATATGCTGTTGGATTCAGTTAGCTAGTGTTTTATTGAGGATTTTTGGCATCTATGTTCATCAGGGATGTTGGTCTATAGTTTTCTTTGTTGTATCTTTTCCTGGTATTGTTTTAGGGTGATACTGGCTTCAAAGAATGATTTAGGGATGATTACCTCTTTTTCTGTCTTTTGGAAAAGTGTCAGTAGGATTGGTACCAATTCTTCTTTGAATGTCTGATACAATTCACCTGTGAATCTGTTTTGTCATGGACTTTATTTTTTTTGGCAATTTAAAAATTATTGTTTCAGTCTTGCTGCTTGTCATTCATCTGTTTAGAGTTCCTGTAACTTTCTGGTTTAATATAGGAGGGTTGTATATTTCCAGGAATTTTTCCGTCTCCTCCAAGTTTTCCAGTTTGTGCACATAGAAGTGTTCATAGCAGTCTTGGATGATTTTTTGTATTTCTGTGGTATCAGTTGTAACATCTCCTGTTTCATTTCTAATTGAGCTTATTTGGATCTTCTCTCTTCTTTTCTTGGTTAATTTCACTAATAATCAATTTCATTTATATTTTCAAAGAACCAGTGTTTTGTTTCATTTATTTTATTTATCTTTTTTTTGTTGTTGTTTCTTTCAATTTCATTTAGTTCTGTTCTGATCTTGGTTACTTCTTTTCTTCTTCTGGGTTTGAGTTTGTATTGTTCTTGTTTTTCTAGTTCTCTGAGGTGTGACCTTATATTATCTATTTGTGTACTTTCAGACTTCATTTCCATCTTGATTTTATTGTTGACCCAATGATCATTCAGGAGCAGATTATTTAACTTCCATATATTTGCATGGTTTTTGAGGGTTCCTTTTGGAGTTAATTTAGAGTTTTATTCCCCTGTGGTCTGAGAGATTACTTGATATAAGTTTGATTTTCTTAAATTTACTAAGACTTGTTTTGTGCCTTATCATATGGCCTATCTTGGATAATGTTCTATGTGCTGATTAATAGGATGTATATTCTGCAGTTGTTGGGTAGAATGTTTTGTAAATATCTGTTAAGTCCATTTGTTCTAGGGTATGATTTAAGTTTATTCTTTGTTGATTTTCTGCCTTGATGACCTGTCTAGTGCTCTCAGTGGAGTATTGAAGTCCTCCACTATTGTGTTCCTATCTATCTCATTTCTTAGGTCTAGTAGTAATTGTTTTGTAAATGGGAGCTCTAGTGTTAGGTGCATATATATTTTGGATTGTGATATTTTCCCATTGCACTAGTTTTTTTTTTATCATTATATAATGTCCCTCTTTGTCTTTTTAAACTGCTCTTGCTTTAAAGTCTGTTTTGTCTGAAATAAGAATAGTTACTCCTTCTCACTTTTGGTTCCATTTGCAAGGAATATGTTTTTCCATCCCTTTACCTTGAGTTTATGTGAGTCCTTATGTGTTAGG